AATTAAATTCAATTATTTACCTTTTTAAAAAGAAAGAGAGAGAGAGAGAGAAAGGAAAACCCTTTAATATTTTTTTCTCTTTCTATCTCTCTTTTTCTTTTTAATTTTTTTTTTTTTTTTTTTTTTTGTAATTTAAAATCTTTTCATGTTCAGATTTAAACTTAATTAAACTTCAATTGATAAGATTTAAGTATTGAAATAAGGGAGGGGAGAGAGGGGAAAAGAAAGAGAGAGAGAGAGAGACAGGAAAAAAGGTTTTTATAATATTTTCTTTTTTTCCTTTTTCTTATCGATAACAAATTTTAAAATGGGATTTTCTTTTTTTCTTTTTCTTTTTTTTTTTTTGAAAGAAATTTTATACGTGACAAAAAATGACCCAATTATGAGTTTGATAATAGGGTCAAATTTCATACATGAACGGATTTAAAAATGAAATGTGAAGAAAGAAAGAAAGAAAGAAAAAATGGAAGGAGAAGGGAGAAAGTGAAAGAAAGAAATGTGGAAATGTGAAAAAAGAAGAAAGAAAGAAAGGAGGAAAAGAGAGGGGAAGGAGAAAGGGAAAAAAGGCAAAATGAGAGAGAGAGAGAGAGAGAGAGAGAGATAAGACTGAAGACTAAGATAGATAGATTCAGAGAGAAGTGGACAGAGCACAGAAATAGTTACAGTTAATAGTTACAGAGAGAAGCAGGCGGGCAATGAGAAAATCAGTAAGAGAGACAGAGAAATAGACAAAGAGATTAACAGAAAGACAGTGAAAGAAAGACAAAAAGAGAAGGAATTAGACAGAGAGAGAGAAATGAACAGACAAGGACAGAAACAAACAGATAGGGTCAGAGAAAGGCAAAGAAAAAGTAAGAGAAAAGTAGAGAGACACAGAAATAGTTAGACAGAGAGAATGAGAAAGAAAGAAAGAGAATTAGACAGAAAAATGAGCAGACAGACAGTGAGAGAAAGAGAGAAAGACGACGAGAGAGAGAGAGAGAAATACACAGAGAGAATGAAAAACATTCTTTCAAAGAGAGAGAGAGATGGAAATCGTTTCAGGTTATTGTCGTGGCACAAACCTTTCCATATAATTTAAAAAAAAGGGGTCACCAAGAGGTCATCAAGAGTTCATCAGGGTGGCAAGGAGTGGAATTTAAAGACAATTAGGGGTAGAATGCACACGTACGTTAAAGGGGCATAAATTTCAACGAAAAAAAAGAGACAGAAAGAAAGTAATTTAAAATAAATATATATATTTAAGGATTTACACGGTCGAAAGTTTTCCAACGCAAAAAAATAAATATCGAATCACAAATTGAAGGTTAATGAATGTCAATCAATTAAATTCGCATCGATTTTCTTTTTTTTTTTTTTTTTTTTTAAATCTTCACAAAAATTATTTTCACGTAAACGATTCGCATCCCTTTTAGAAAATATCAAATTTTTTTTTCCTTTGGTAATTTTTAAAAGGAAAAATATATTAATAATAATAATAAAATATTATTTAAAATGATGATTAATCCTTTCCGAAACCTGAATTCGTTCGTAACCCCATTCGTTTGTATTATATATTGTTTGCTTTTAAACAAACAAACAAACAAACAAAACGATTTTTTTATAATTTCCTTTCCTTTTTCTTATTTACTCGCGCACCCTCCCCCCACACTAGGTCCTCTTTTCCTTTGAAATAAAACGTATAGAAATCAATCAATCAATCAATCAGTGGAATCAAAAAATTTGTTCGTATCTTAATTATCATCATCATCATTACTATTATTTTTCACAAATAAAAAAATTTTAATTATTAAAACCACAACGCTAGGATTTAAAAATATTTTCCTTTGACGTCATAATTATTATAAAAAACCGGAAATATATATATTTTACGTAATGAATAAATAAATAAATAAATAACCGGAAGTGCAAAAAAAAAATAATTACGAGTAATAAATAATGTATTTTTGAAACTGACAAAAGGTCATCATTATTTATTTAATTTTAAATAATAATATTCTCTCTCTCTCTCTCCCTTTCTCTCTCTCTTTATCTCTCTTTCGTAAGGATTTATTATTATATATTAACTTATCAAAAACACACTCGCAAAAAAACAAAGAATTATTATTATTATTATAAATTTAAAATTAAAAAAAAAATGGCGCGAAAACAAAAAAATTTTCTTCTTTATGAATAATTAATAATAATAATGATAATTTAATTTTACGTCTATGACTTTGACGAGTTATTATTATTATTATTATTTGTTTTGATCATAATAATAATAATAATATTATTCATACGGAATGATAATAATAATAATAATAAATAAATTGCAAGCATGTTACTAATTAAAGTTTTTTTATTACGTATTTTGCCATTAACTTATTTCAATCAAAAAACAGTTATAGTTTACGCTCATGATTACGATAATATAACGTAAGTGTTTAAAATAATTTTCCCTTTACGAAAATTTAATAATAATAATGGTAATAATAATAATAATAATAATAATAATTGACGCGAGATCGATATTTGAATTCCTTTGATAAATGTCAAAACTAATTTTCTCTATTTAAAAAAAAAATTTTTTTAATCATTAATAACGTAAAATTATGTTTTATGTGTACTTTTTAAAATATATCGAAACGATTTATTCGATTAAATCGAAAAAGGTTCGTTCGATAATTAATAATAATAATAATAATAATTTAAAATTAGTGACGTTGACCAAAGAAAAAAAAAATTTTTTTTTATTTACAAACGATCGTCAGTGCCATCTTTGGGTATTTTTAATAATTAAAAAAATTTGTTATTTTTTAACGTTCGTAACGGTTAAAACGACAGCCATTTTCCCGTTTGTTCTAACATAAATTTCGATTTAAAATGTAAATTATGAAAATTATTTAATCGGTATTATTTGTCACGGGAATATAAAATCCGAACGTGTAACGTTCGAGTTTAAAAATAATTTATTAATAAATTTCGTCAATTTAGAATTCGAATTCGAAAAAGAATTTTTAATAATAAGTGGACGGAGATATTAATTAAATTATTATTCGTTAAGTCGACGTAAAGGATTCGAAAATTAATAATTTGTCGAAAGATTATAAATATATCGAACGTCACGAATTTATTTTTGTTTTCAGATGGAACGATACAGATTCGACAGCTGAGAGATATTCGTTATTTGTAACACCCCACGAATTTCAAGATTGTAAATCCATTAGAAAAAATAATAATTCGCCATTCGTAGTAATTTTTCTATTCGTCACATCGGGTAATTATTTGGGTTTGGGTACGGTTGTGAATAGTAATACGGTATTAACGGCTGAAAAAATTTTCAGTCCGCCATTTTCAAATTACGAAAACATATTGGTTTTGGGTGGTACGACGTGTCCACATTGGAGCGCGAATACACAAGTGAGAAAAATAGATCACGTTTTATTACACGAATATCGCGTGGCTTTAGTTAAATTAATTGACGAATGGAAATTCGATCCTTATTTACGACCCGCCGTTTTGGGTGATAAAACCACGACTAGGCACACACCCATTTACGGTAAGGAAACCGCCATATTTGGTATACATTTGAACAAAACGTATACTTTCGGACAACCTTTACCGAAAAAATCCGTGTATCATTCTGCCGTTTGCGAAGCCGTACATTCAAATTGGGCTAAATGTCGTAAACTTTATTCTAAAGAAACTCCCGGTTTTAATAAATTGATGTATTTTTGCATTCATCCCAACGATAGCTACTGCCACGGCACTCTCGGATCTCCCGTTGCCGGTGTTAATGCCAAGGGTGAAATACACACCGTGGGAGTCGTCGTCGATACGAATTGCGACGATTTTGATTTAGTCGTTAAAACTGCTTTTTTTGACGATTGGATAAAAAAACGTACTAACAAAGATAAAAATGTCGATGATTTTTATTTTGCTATGTAATTAATTAATTAACGAAAAAAAAAAACCGAATCCGCCATTTTTGTACGTGTACCCCGTTCCCCCCCCTTTCCCCTCCACCACGTGTGTGATCAATTGACTTTCGGCGTGGGTAAAAAAAAAAACGGTTTTTATTTTGTCGTGTAACTAGAC